GGGAAAGCTGCCATTCCTCACCCTAGAGGGTGAGAGACTTGCCCTTGAAGCTCTTGGTCTGTCCATGGCAATCAATTGTATAGGCCATGGGAGAGGAAAATGGCGATGGGATTTACACGAATTTCCATGATGTCTCCATAATTGCATGCAGTTGTCTTTGTCACGCACAGCATCTGTTCTTAGGATGTGAGCCTCAGCTCTTCATTGGAGGATGTCTCCATCTTCCACACCTTCTAACTCTTGAATCGCTCTCCTCAGTTTTTAATTTCCCTGGCCTTTGTGGTTCTTCCTCTTCTTGACCCTCTCACTAAGCTCATGGTGGCAATGTCTTCTCCGTTCTTTGAGGATATCCCTATGTGTGATTTTAGGTTCTATACTATTTGTGTCATGTTGGCTTCTGATGGGTTCCTGTTTTCTTTTCTAATGTTCTTTGCCTTGTATTGTATGTATTGTAGGCTCCCTCCTAAACCCTGGTGATGCTGGTTGTCCATTTGTTTCGTTTGTAAGGAGGTTGATAGATATCTGAGAAGCACTGTGCATGGAGTGCTGTCCTGACTTGGGGCTGTGCTGCTAATGTTCTCCTTTGGGACTTCACAATTTTGTCTGTGTCTTTATCTTTTGTCATTTTTCCTAGGAGAAGCTGGCCATCTTCTCCTGCCTGAGTATAATCTGGCTCTACTGATCTGGGCTAAGGACACAGGATGCTGAGGTGCAGCTTCTAGATCTGTGCGTTCAGTGCAAAAGCTCCTAGCCACCTGTAGCCATTTATGCTGAAATTAACTAAAATGAATTAAAGCAAAAAAAAATCAGTTTCAGTTGCATTAGTCACATGCCCAGCATCAAAGGCCAGAACTGCTCTTGAACAGTTGGGTAGTTAGAAGATTCCCACCTCCTAGGAGTGCCATTCTAGCTTTTTGTCTCATTTTCAGGAAGAAAACACTCTCGGCTGAGCCAGGGCCCTGAGGTCAGAATCTGTCTGGATCAACCTGTCCAGAAAGAAAAGTATAGCCTTTGCTGGGAAGTGTGTGTCTCTACTTGTCCCACACACTGTTATCTGGTACTCCTCCACTGGATGGTGACTGTGTTCCTAGACTGTCTTCACTGGGCCACTGGGCATGTGACACTGCTGTCTTCTCTCCCCACTTGGTAGGTACTTAATGCATGCTTTCTCCATTTGCCCCATCGCAGCCTACTCGCCCACACATTCTCCAGCTCGTCAAATTTCCTTGAGTGCTTTCTTTTGCTGTGCTCTCTGATTTAATTTGCTCTGTCTTTGTGGTTTTAAGAGCTTTCTATTCTATTTGTTCTTTTCTCATTAGGAGAAGCCTTAACTTGTCACGTGCTCTACCCACAAGGCTCAAACTGGAGAGACTGTCACTTTTTATTATCTCTATCGGAGGCCTCAGGCAAGGAAATGGACTCTAAGAACCTTTTGCCTCCAGAAAAAGAAGGTGTAATTATTAGAATTTATGACGGAAGCTGCTGGTAGCCAGAACTGTGTGCTGAGCACCACAGCTGCCAAGCAAAACTGCAGAGCCTGAGATCAGCATTTCCTCCTCCAGTGTGGATGGCAGCTGGTCCATGGGGTCCTGAGATTGAAGCTGAGTCAGATGCAGTAGCACATGCCTGTAATCTCAGCTACTTAGGGAGCAGAGACAAAAGGACTATGGTTAGAGGCCAATCCATGGAAAAGAGTTATTTAAGACCCCATCTCAACAAACAAGTCTAGAATGGCACTCTGAATGGTGGTAAATGTCTACAATCACAGCTATGAAGAATTTGTTGGAGGACTGTAGTCCAGGTTGGCCCTGGGCAAAAAAGAAAGCATTAGTTATTTTTCTTTTTTTTTTTTTTTTTAGATCAAGAACAGTTTATTCATGAGATTCTTTTTCAGCTGACTTCAGAAAGGTAGGCAAATCTAAGCAAAGAGAATAAGGAGCTCAAAAATGAACAGGACCCCCAGGGAGACATCTGAAGACTGTTTATCTCTTTATTTTTTTTTTTCATTTTTCTTTTATTATTCATATGTGCATACAAGGCTTGGTTTATTTCTCCCCCCTGCCCCCACCCCCTCCCTTACCACCCACTCCACCCCCTCCCGCTCCCCCACTCAATACCCAGCAGAAACTATTTTGCTCTTATCTCTAATTTTGTTGTAGAGAGAGTATAAGCAATAATAGGAAGGAACAAGGGGTTTTGCTGGTTGAGATAAGGATAGCTATACAGGGCATTGACTCACATTGAGTCATTATTTTTCTATTGTAAAAATAACTAATGCAAAAAATGGGTTGGGTCTATGGCTCAGGTAGTAGAGCAACTGCTTAGCAAGTGTGAGCCCTTGAGTTCACCCAGCAAGGCCAAAAATCACCCTTGGAAGAATCAAAACAACATCAACAAAACCAAGTAATAAAAAGAAATTGAATTGAATCCAAATGTTTAGCAGAGGGAGAAGTCCCATGATGTACAATATCTGAGGTATGTTACATTTTCCTCTTCCATCAACGATGAACTTCCTTTGCATCTAAGTCATTGAGAGGCAAATTCTGGCTTTGGTAGCAGACCTTAAGATGAATACTACCCTGGTACTTATTCATCTATCATCCATCCATCCATCCATCCATTCTCATAAGTAGTGAGAAAATTTAAGATGAACCCACTTTTAGGCTTTTGTTGAAGAAAATAATTGTATTTAAAAGTAAGGTGACTGAAGTAGGTTGGACTGAAAGATGCATGTTAACTTTATTGATACAAAACTCAATCTAATCTTGCCAGCCTTTTGTGTGTGTGTGTGTGTGTGTGTGTGTGTGTGTGTAATACTGAGGCTTGAACACAGGGCCTTCACCTTGAGCTACTCCACCAGCCCTCTTTTGTGATGGGTATTTTTGAGATAGGATCTTGCACACTATTTGCCCAGGCTGACTTTGAACCGTGATCCTC